TGCCTCCCATAGAAATCTTTCCGATTTCTCTTGCATCCTACGTGTCAAAACCTTCGAGTAAACTTTACTTGCTAAACTGGTCAAGCTGATCGCCCGATAGCACCCGCAGTCAAAATGTGAACCTTTACCTTTATATAAAGGCACAATGACTGCGGATCGCCAATCATCCGGGACATCCCCCATCTGCCAGCACAAATTGCACAGCAGATGAAAGCTGTCCCAGACGCGAGGCCCACCATACTTGACCATTTCAGCAGTAACTCTGTCTAGTCCCGCAGCCTTACCACATTTCAAACTTCGAATCGCACGTTCAATCTCTTTCATACTGATGACCTCAGTGTCATCGAGGTCCGGGTCTGGCATACCAGTCACGGCGTCATCCCCGGATCCCTCACTAAGGTCATCACACGCATACATTTCTCTATAAAATTCGCTCCATCGCTGCATGACGTCCGATTTTTCTGAGAGGACGTCATTAGTTCTCGAAAGCACTTTGTTCATTCTTAAGGCCGTCGCACCACTTCGGGTCCTTCCAACCTCTTTCCAGAAGAGTTTGGAGTTCTCCTTAAAGTTGTGCGACAACCTTTCGTCCGCTTCCATTCTACACCTTTCACGCACTTCCTCAATCAGTGCTTTCGTGTGAACTTTCTGCAGCCTATATCTTTCTTTCATCTTCTCTCTCATATCCTTATCATTACTAGAGGCCAAGTAGTCTAACCATGCTTTCTTCTTCTTCTTTACAGCTTCTTTCACTTCATCATTCCACCATGCATCTCTTCTTTTACTACTGCCTCTTTTTATTGTTCCACACACTTCTTCCGCTGCACTTACCATTCCATCCCTAAGGTTCTGCCAAGTTCTTTCTACACATTCTTTTCTGCCATCGATGGTGTCAAGCTTTTCGGCTACCCTCGCATGATATTTGTCCCTAGTATCCGCTTCCTGAAGCTTCCAGCTTCGGATGCGACATATTTTAATTTAATAATTCATAAATAACTTGTTTGCTTGAATTATTATTGTAATTTTAACTTTTTTAATTTATATTTATTTGGTTTAATTTAATCTATGTACTTAATTAATTATTTTCATTTAAATAATAATTTTCGCATGCCAGATGTGGTAAACATGTGGACTATGTATAATATGCAACTATGTGTCACCTCTGATGTACCATGTTTAAGCGAATAAATGATATTATTATAATTATTATTATAGTTTAAAAGATCTGCTATGGAATAGCAAAAGTAGTTTTACCATAATAAAGCGCTCAGAGAAGCTGTATAGAACTATGAAAGCGGCAGCTGCTCGTACACGACCGACATCCATGTTGAACGGTCAAACATTGGAGCGGCTGCCGCGCGCGCGTAATCGATACGCGGCTTTAATATATTATTTACACAAAATATACTTAAAAATGGTTAAAGTAACAAGACATCATAAGTTTACCCAACTATAAACGCGGTGACATACTCGGTCAGTATACCTACTTATGTTTAACCTGTTCTATAAAAGTTCATATTATTTTTAATAACAATCAGTTACACGAACTCAGATACACGAACTAACACGAGTTCGTGTATCTGGGTTCAAAGTTTACAAGAGATGGAAAGTGTGAGAGTGATATCGAAAGAAGAGTGAATGCAGGAAACATGGTGAATGGAGCTTTGCACTCCTTTATGAGCAGTCGGAAGGTGTCTAACAAGGCTCGTTTGGCTGTGCATGAGGGGGTGTTGGTTCCGACACTCATGTACGGAAGTGAAACTTGGGTATGGCAGAAGAAACATGAAAGCAGAATAAATGCAGTTGAGATGAGAGCATTAAGAAGTATGATAGGAGTTAAACTGAGTGACAGGCTAAGAAATAGTGAGGTAAGAAAACGTTGTGGTCTGAAAGAAGATGTAGTGACAAAAATTGAGAAAGGTATGCTGAGATGGTTTGGCCATGTCGAGAGAATGAATGAAGAACGATTGACGAAAAAAGTGTATAAGGCGAGTGTGAATGAAAGTGTTGGAAGGGGTAGACCTAGGCGGACATTTCTAGACCAAATCAGGGACGTCTTGAAAAAAGGCCAGGTCAAGAGTACCCTAAACCGTAGAGCATGTATGAAGGGAATAATGAAAGTGGACGAAGCAAAACAAGTATGTAAGGATCGTAGCAAGTGGAAAGAACTGGTCTCTGCCTACCCCTACGGGAAAGAGGCGTGATTATATGTATGTATGTAACAATCAGTTCTAAGGCTCTTCGTAGATTTCACTAGAGTCATATATTATCCTATCCAATTTTACTAGAGTAGATAAGCTAAAGAATAGCGTTGAGTAATTTTTTCGTGAACATAGTAGGACTATGTGCCGGTTCTTCACAGACTAAAAACTATTTTACCTTCCCAGTTGGCAGAACCGAGCAGCAGCTGTATATGTATATTGTTTCATTTAAGTATGTACTACTTTTTTTCTAAAATCCTCCCATTTTTGCGAAATACATGAATTTGCTCTTCTTTTTAATTTTTTCATCTGGCAACCCTAACTACAGTGCTTACCATCTAGTGAACTTTGCGCTTGTTTATCACCACAAGTCTTTAAAAAACTTCAACTTCATTAACCACTATACTATGTTGCCATATTGACTGCTAACAACAGCGGTCCAAAACCCCGCAAAGCACACATTACGTAGACGAGAAAGTAACAAAATACTATTTCATTTATAATTCAGTAACTCAAGAGTACTTTCAAATTTCAATCTCGTGCAAAATTCAGTTTTAACACTCAGCAATAAGAGATAGAGTTGTCTGGAGCAAAAACTTTTAAAATTCAAAAAGGCAGCATTACCCACAGGCTTTACTGTTCTTAAAATAATGCAGTGCAGACTGCAGCCAAGTAAGACACCGTCTGCTCACGTCTCAGCGGATCGCAAAGGATCGGTATCCTTTTGGAAAACAATTTCTCACAGAATCTCAATATTTAAGTAATACCAGAGTTTTAAATGGATTCAATATGTTTATGTGTTTTATAAATATATTACCATTCATTGAATAGCGATAAGATACATTAATAAGCATTTATAATTTAATTTAATTTCGTTAAAACAGAAGCCATCGTCAACATCGTGTCTGTATGCTAATAATTTATCTGTGTAGATTAGGTTTCCCCTATAGATTTCTTACCTTTTTTTTTATAGGATTGGGTGACAAACGAGCACACAGTCCACCTGATGGTAAGTGGTTACTGTGACCCATAGACATCTACATCTATCCTCAATAAAGACTCAAGATGCAGATGCGTTGTCATCCGTGAGGACTAAGATGGAATGCCTCTTTTCCAGTAAAAAGGGTCTCCGGTTCTCTACACTCACCATACGAAACACAGCAGCGTTAAGCTGCTATTTTACGCTACTTTTCTGTGAGAGCGTGGTCCTTCCCCGTTCGAGCCGACCCATTCGTGCTACAACCATAATATAGCTGCAGCATGGCTCTACCACGTAGAAAACCTGGTGGAATATATATGTACATACGTGGTACGCCACGCTGCAGCAATATTACGGTTGTAGCACAAAAAAGGTAAGTCCCTACGACTCTGACAAAACACCAGCATAAAATAGCAGCTTATTGCTGCTGTGTTTCGTATGGTGAGTGTAGAAACCAGGAGACACTTTTTTCCTGGAAACGAAGCATTCCACCTTAGTCCTCAGGGGTCACAATGCATCTGCATTTTGATACTTAGCCGAAGATAAATCATCAGGTTGACTGTATGATAGTTACCCTTATTTTATAAAAAAATATATCATCATTCATCATCATTACAGCCCTTCACAAGTCCACTGCTGAACATAGGCCTCCTCCAAAGAATGCCACAAAGCACAGTCCTGAGCCACCTGCATCCATCGACTTCCTGCATGTCTTACCAGGTCGTCACTCCATCTCGTGGAGGGACGCCCTACACTTCGCTTACCAGTACGAGGCTGCCACTCAAGAACCTTTCTTTCCCGTCGGTTATCAGTTCTTCGAGCTATAAGGCCGGCCCACTGCCACTTCAGCTTACTAATCCGTTGGGCTATGTCGGTTACTCTGGTTCTACTGCGGATATCCTCATTTCTAAGTTTATCACGCACAGAAACCCCGAGCATAGCTCTCTCCATAGCTCGCTGAGCGACCTTTAGCTTCCTCAAACGGCCAGTAGTGAAGGATCACGTCTCAGATCCGTAATTCATCACAGGCAACACGCACTGGTTGTACAATTTCGTTTAAAGGTTTTGAGGTATGTCTAACGAGAAGATGCGTCGTAGTTTCTCGAACGCTGCGCAGCCGAGTTGAATCCGTCGATTGACCTCTCGGTCGCAGTTGGACTTACCTAGTCCGAATATTTGTCCCAGGTAAACATACTCGTCAACAACTTCGAGCTTAGTGCTCCCAACAACTACCGGCATAGGTGTGACAAGGACGTTAAACATGATTTTTGTTTTGTCCATGTTCATCTTAAGACCTATCCGTTGGGAGACACTATTCAGTTCATTGAGCATAGTGCTTAGGTCCTCCAGCGATTCGGCCATAAGGACTATATCGTCGGCAAATCGAAGGTGAGTGATGTACTCGCCATTGATGTTAATACCGCATCCTTTCCAGTCCAGCAGCTTGAAAACGTCTTCCAATGCAGCGGTGAAGAGTTTCGGGGATATAACGTCACCCTGTCTTACAATTCTCTGCAGTTAGACAAAATTATTGTTGTGTGCGAATTTCTCAGCTTTCATATAAAGACGGATCACAATGGATCACAATGTCGGTCGGCCGGTTAGTAAATGTTATGTCGTATTGCGACAGCTAATTAGGACATAACAATACGGTTCCCCTCACTCTGCTCCTACACCACGCATTATTAAATATAATACATAAAGATCACTGTCTAAAATAATTTAATTTCCCCTATTAAAAAATAAAAAATTAAATAGGTATTTGAAAAATATAATTTAATAACAAACCCAAAAAAATCTATATACATCAAAACATATAGCTACACTTCGAGCATGTTACTTCTTAGGAAATGTATATTGTCCAACTCTTTATCAAAGAGGCAGTTCGCAGGCGAACCTTTGTGGGGCCCCAGGCAGCGATGCTTGCGAAGCATGAGGTACATGAGCAAACTATATTCAGCGGTTGCATTCTGGACAGTGTGCAGTGTCGTCTCCAATTGCTCCTGGCGTGCATCCCAGGCACGCAGCCTGTCCATGCTCTCTCCTAGATGTTGGTTCAACTAAAAACATTAATTCATTTTATTTTATAAAATATAAAATACAAATAATTTAAAATACGAATAAACAATAAAAGAGCGCATAATCGCAAATTGTTCCAGTTCTAGCTATTTTTCCATGTGTATGTATGCATTTGAAACGCTTCCACAACACTTGAGAAACTCCTATATAGTATGATGTTTTCTTAACAAAAATTAATCAAGCGGGGAGAGCAAAATTAGACTGATGAGTGATGAACCACAATCACGAGTTATAAATGGCGTAGCATCTAACGACCAAAAAAGATTGACTACTGCTGGCCCTTGAACTTTGTTGTACCTTGGCCCATAGTCATCAACAAAATGCAAATGCACTGTTACCGCCGAGGAGTAAGATGGAATGCCCAGTTTCAGTGAAAACGGTCTCCGGTTCTCTCCACTCACTATATAAAACACAGCAATAAATAAGCGAGTGTGTTTTACCATAATATAACTGTTGATTTTTGCATACATAGGTGTTATCATGTTTTTGCGTCGCACTGTGATTGGTCTATACTGAATTTTGAATGCAATACCAACGCTGTTTTATTGCCGATAATGATTAATTGCGTAAACTGGAGAGCAAGTCGAACATCCGCTCTAACAATATTATTATTTTTAACAGTTAACCTTCTTTTCCAAAAGCCTATTAGTTTAGTTTGACGTAAGACTTATTGAGAATTATGACCAAACGACTTAAACTACGAAAAATCTCTATTTATGGAGATCTCTTAATACATATTTTACCTACTGAAATGATTACCCTATTTTTTTGTTAGAGTATTATCATCATTCCATAAATCGATGCAGCAATGAAACTACGTGGGTCACTCAGAAAAAGGTTTTATAACTAAATTATTTATTATTCAACTTTTTTAAAGAACTCTCCACTAAAGTTTCAGACACGCCGCAGACACTTGTTCTAAGGCGTGCTCCCTTTTAACTGGTTATTTTATTTTAATAAATAAAAGTTAGTCACATAGTGCCAAATCGAGCCTTTAAGGAAAGTGACCCTGAAACTTAGCCGGTGTGGTGTCCAGGAAATCACCCGCTTTAATCGCTGAGCGCGGCGCGGGTGCGTCATGGTAAAGCAGTCCGAGAAGCCTCGTCTGCGGTCGCTTATTGTCGTACACAGCTGTCACACTTTTTTTTATAGGATAGGGTGACAGACGAGCACACAGTCCACCTGATAGTAAGTGGTTGCTGTGACCCATAGAAATCTTCATCTATCCTCGATAAAGAATCAAAATGCAAATGTGTTGTCACCCGTGAGGACGTGAAATATCATCACTTGAGTACTTACGGCTCGACCGATTTTGATAGAACATTTTGTGAGCGTTTGGGTGGGTTGGATGGTTTAGATTCACGATTGGACCCGGTAGGTGGCGCTGTTGTCGAGATCCAGAAATCACCCGTGCGAAGCCGGGCCGGATCGGAATTTGACTTCGAGTTTTGCATGCTTACTAAATTTAAAGCAGGCTCGTCTCACCCTATTTACGACATTATTACATGTAACGTGTCTTAGATTTATAAATACGATTAACAAAGTTGACATTTTGGCTGTGAGTGTTGATGAAACCACAGAACAAACGAGTTGAATGTAAATTCAAGAAAAACAACTTCCTTCTGCGTGAATCCCATATCTCTGGTGCCCTTTGACCTACTGGACCCAAATTCAAACTCAACCGAGCTACTACCTCAAGGTATCCACATACCAAATTTAAAGTCAATCGGTCCAGTGGAACGGAAGTTATCGTGTCGGCATACAGACTAACAGACTGCCAGCTAAAACCATTAACTTCCTTTCAATACTACGCAGAAGGAAGTTAATAATAGTTGGTAAAACCAAAATTAACAAACGCCTACCAAAATGAAGCGGTCGAGAATCACTGGGGAAAATTTGATCGCTAGTTTTCACTTTGACTGAGTATCTGGTGTCTATTGCTTTACGAAGTTGAAGTAGCATCAGTTCCGCATGATATACTGCCAAATGCTTGCCAGAAGTGTTTACGTGGTAGAGTCACGCTGCAGCTATGTTAGTAGTATAGTTGTACCACGAATGGGTCGGCTCGACCGGGGAACACCAGTGTTCACAGAATGCCAGCGTAAAATAGCAACTTAACGCTGCTGTGTTTCGTATGGTGAGTGTAGAGAACCGTCGACCCTTTTTACTGGAAAAGAGGCATTTCATCGTAGTCCTCACGGGTGACAACGCGTCTGCATTTCTGTCTATGGATCACAGCAACCACTTACCATCTGGTGGACTGTGTGCTCATTTGTCACCCTATCATATAAAAAAATATACATAGGTATACCGTGTTATATGGTATTATGTGAATATGTCAAACTACAAGACTCATGTCGATAACAAAGACTATTTTTAAACTTAATGATTTATTTTTTTACGTGGTAGTGCCACGCTGCAGCTATATTATGGTTGTAGCACGAATGGGTCGGCTCGACCGGGGAAGAACAACGCTTTTACAGAATACCAGCGTGCAATAGCAGCTTAACACTGCTGTGTTTCGTATGTTGAGTGTGGAAAATTGGAGACCCTTTTTACTGGAAACTAGGCATTCCATCTGTCATTCATTGTTACCCCTGAGGACTGCCTCAGGGGTGACAACGCATCTGAATTTTGGTATTCTTAATTGATGTTGATGTCTCCATACACATCAACATTAATTAAGTGGTGATGGTAAGTGATGATGTCGGTCATGTCGGCAGTCCACCTGTTGGTAAGTGGGTGCTGTAGCCCATGCTACAGTACACACTTACCAACAGGTGGACTGTGTTCTCGTTTGTCACCATTATTCTATAAAAAAACACTACTATTAAAGTGACGTATCTACTACTAAAGTATCTGCCTGTCAAGTTTCCGATTACAGTGAATCCTTCCACGCTGATAGACGCCCTATGCTATGGAGTATAATAAAATGATAGATATATTTTTGTCATAATAAAGCAACTAACCGATGTAAAAATTCAAAAAATAGACAAATACCTTAATAATTCTTCTTTCTAAAAGTTTCCTTTGAATCCAATCACAAATATATATTAAAAAGGCCAGCAACACAAGTGTGACAGCAACAACGGTGTCAAATAGCGGGTAATCTTCAAGCTGATGCCAAGAAAACTTATATGGTGACGGAGCTACGAGCACGGGTTCTGGTTCACTTGCGTAGAAATCCGGGATGTAATACTGGACTGGTAAAAATAATAAGGCCACCAGAACCGTGGCCACCACACCGTTCGTGCATCCGCTTATAGGCATTAAGTTCCACTCACATATGATGCGGCAGCTTACATTTCAACAGGCGTGTTGAGATTCAACTAATATACTTAAATTATAGAAATCGGGAATTAATCGTAAATGTTTATTAGAAAATTTATTCTTGACAACTGTTTGTCTATATGACAGACTTGATTTATTCTTCTGCATTTATGACTTAAGACAAAGAGTTGATAAGTTACGAATAAAAACGACGAATTCATTTGTGTGAAGTGACTAATTTAATATAAATGACCTTTTTATTTTAATCATGATTAGTCACGATACCATCCACACCATCTGGATGCTTGGTGGTTCACCACTATGCGATTTACTCGTTCTTTCATTTGTTCGACTTCGTTGTGGAATAGTTTACAAAAAGAGATTTTTCCGGACCGGTACAACGTAGGGACCTTCAAGAAAAGAACTTACTACATTTTTAAAGGCCGGCAAATCTCAGCAATTCTCCAGGTGTTTCAATTGTTCATGGGCGGCGGTCGACGCTTACCATCAGGTGAGCCACATGCTTGTTTGCCCCATCTTCTTTAAAAAAGTATCTGCTTCTTCATTATCATTATGGGACCGTAAAAGACCGCTGCTGGACGTAGGCCTCTTCTGCTGTAGAAAGGATGCGCTTTAATATTTACGCTCGGCAGGCAGTTGGACGGTCGCAGTACCAAATATCTCACACCTTTGATCCCGCTACTAGTCGCCAATTCTTACGTAGATATCTGTCGTAAACGAGGTAGTGACGGCTTAAGAGATCGCACTACCCCTTACCATTCCGTGGATGTCGTGAGAGGCGACAGAAAGAAAATAAACAGTAGATGAGCAGCAGGTTCTTCCTGTTAAGTTTCTATTCCGATCTTAATGAAAATACTGTGGCTGTCAACCAACCTACCCAGCGTGGCAACTTCTTTTTTTGTATTTTCTGATTTAAAAAAAAACGTAACCTCCACACTACGATTTTCTCCTCTATTGTGGGGGCAGTTTACAAACATAAATTGCATAAGGACAAACATTCAGACCCGTAACAATTATTTGTAGGCAAAAAAAATTTGTACCGTGCGGGATTCGAACCCAATCAATTAGAATTTAGGAAGCAATTGAGTTGTAGTGCTAAGGGCCACCCTTAGCACTAAAACTCAATTGCTAAGCCACTGCGCCACGGAGCCGTCGAAACTATCTCACCTATGGCTCTTCTGACCTATAATCAGCCATTGACTTTTGATAGACTGTAATGAATTATTGAAAAAATTTACACTAGGTGACCTTAACATGATAAGCCATAAGATTTTCTGGCATTTCCTTACTTAATACCCACGGAATTATTTATAAAATCAAAATATTTCATATTCATAGTAAATCAGTTATGAATCAAATTAGCGTGTCGTTTTCATAATTTTATACGTATATCCTTCTTTTAGAAAAATATAATATATTTTTAGTTATTGGTTATTACTTTATTTAAACTTTTGCAAATCCCGAAAGGAATGAAAACCAATTTCTCGGATAACGAACCAAAGAGTATCCAATAGAGTATTTTACACCGTGTAAAAAATTATATATTAATGATAGATTTTGTAAAAAGTAAACGAGAAATATTGATTTCTATTTATAAAAATGCATTATAAAAAATTTCAATTTTAAGAATATTTTTTTATCTGTGTCTCAAATCTGTCAAAACGCTGTCCGCTGTAAAGAGAGAATAAACTAACTCCCTCTACGCTGTCCGCGAAATATTAGATACCGTTGTGACCATGAAGCTAATACAAAGGGGAGACGGCATAAGCAACTGTGCACTGTGATTCTAAGTAGGTCCTGACGTTATCATAGTGGGCGTGGCTTTAGTTAGTATACTGTCAGCATTCGTCCTGTGCGCTCATGTGTTGAAAAAATCGCAAATCGATGTATTTTCGTAGTATTAAGAAGAAAAGGATGAAGTGTTGTGTTTTATTGTGTAAAAACTACTCAGATAGACGCTCTGATGTTATGGATGGCATCACATTTCATTTGTAAATAATTTTACACCTAATTTATTAAAATAGTTCTAGAAAAATCTCTTTGCGTTGGCTTTCAAATATAATTAAATATATTCGACACTAGATGGCGACACTTTGTGTCATGTGAACTAAAAATATAAAGGTCCGTAGAGCTCAGTATTGCTAAAATAAACATACGAAGGTGCTGAAATTTGTTTTGCATTCAGATATAAAGTAATTTTAATCGCAAAATATTATTTTTATACTTTATAATAATTATGTGAACAGGCCGTATTCTATCGTCAAGTAAACCTCATAAAGATAACAAAAAGACAGTGCCGTAATTAGAATTCAATTATTTTATTCAGTAATCCAACTTTCAATATTAAAATGAAGGAAATTGTACTTAGGCTGATTTTCACGAAATGTTTAAGTTATATTTAAGTGACATTCTATATGCAAAGAATCACTTAAATACAATTTAATGTTCTTAGATTGGCATTCAAAAAGTGCATTCGGATGCCTAATTTGGAATAAAATATTTATATTTTAATTGATTTGTAAATAAAATTATATTAATTATAATAACTTGTCTATTATTTGTTCTTCCTCAGAGATATTAAGTAGTATAACCCACAGATAAATAATAGTCCAGCCGTTTCTGCGTGAAAAAATTACACATACACAGTACATACTTAGTGTGGAATAAGCAAGGAGACAGAAAGAACACACAAAATTTCGCCTTTATAATATTAGTGAGAAAAATAGGATATTTAGTTCCAAATTAAATATCCTATTTAATATTGAACATAGAATATTTAGTTTCAAAGAGACCTTATTTGATGGATAAAATAAATATTTTTTGAAGGTTGACTTTCACGAAATGATAAACATATTTAAATTGTATTTAAGTGATTCTTTGCATATAGAATGTCAGTTAAATATAACTTAAACATTTCGTAAAAATCAGCCAAGTACAATTTCCTTCATTTTAATATTGAATGTTGGGTTACTGGGTAAAATAATTGAATTCTAATTGCGGCCCTGTCTTTTTGTAATTTTTTATGAGGTTTACTTGACAATAGGTGGCGGCCTGTTCCCAAAATTATTATGAAAACTATAAAAATATTATTTTGGTGATTAAAATTTCTTTGTCTGAATGTATTTGCTTCATGAGATAGACGCTCCGATGCTATGGATGGCATCACATTTCATTTGTAAGTCATTTTACACCTAATTTATTAAAATAGTTCTAGAAAAATCTCTTTGCGTCGGCTTTCAAATATAATTAAATATATTCCACACTAGATAAGATAAGATAAGATGATTTATTTGTTAGAATATGGTACATTTAAGTTGTTACAGAATAATTGAGATCCTAAATATTCTGCAGTTTCCTGCGTACAAATATTTTCAGACAGATTATGTTAGAATTTAAGAGAATACCAAGACATTATTATAGAATTATTATACAATATAAATATACTTACAGCTATACTTAAGGAAACTAAGTAGCATCTATATAAAAACAAAAATGTCAATCAATTCATAATATTTTTTAGTTAAAACATATCAATAAATTAAGTCGAGATTAATTTCAATAATTACAATTCAAGTCAAATTTATCATTTAAGAAGTCATTTATAGAGTAATAACATTTATTTAAAAGAAATTGGTATAATTTACGTTTAAAGATTCCTATGTTCATTTTTTTGAAACAAACAGGCAATTTGTTGTAAACATGTATTGCCATGCAATATACATTTTTTGAGTAAAGTTGTATTCTTTGCTTTGGTACTAACAACTTATGTATGTTTCTATTAGTCCTAATTATAACGTCGTTTTGTTTTTCAAAAAGTATTTCTATTTTTGTGAACAAAGACACAAATTTCTTAAATATATAATGCATGAAGTGGCAATATTTTATATTTGCGAAAAAGAGGAATGCAACTATCTAATTGATGTGCTCCACACATTGACCTTATACATTTTTTCTGCCCGCGAAAAGCTCTAATTAAATCGACAGAATTACCCCAAATTATTAAGCCGTAACGTAGGATCGAAGAAACATATCCATGATAGGCAGAAAGTGATGCCTCTATGTTAGCCACTCGACTTAAACGATATAGAACAAAGACAAATTTATCCAATTTTCTACATAAGTTATCAATATGTGTCTTCCAATTACAGAATTTGTCTATTGTTATACCTAAAAAGTTTGTATGGTCAACTTCTTCGATGACGTTTTTCCCATATTCGATTTTAAGTGGTGCTTGTTTGCTATTATATGTCTGAAATCTTATCATTTTAGTTTTACCGATGTTAACTTGTAAATTATTATTCCTTAACCAATCTATTATTTTTTCTAGAGTACTATTTATTTCGTATTCGGAGTCAAAAGTCTTATTATTATTTTCAATATTAATGGTAATGTCATCAGCATACAGCACACATTTGTGTGTAGTTATATTGGAAAGATCGTTTATGTATATTATGAATAATAATGGTCCTAGTATACTTCCTTGCGGCACTCCGAAATTATTTTCGCGATATGGTGATCTAAAAATTTTTTTACGATTTCCAGAGTAGCTTGATATCTCAACACACTGTTTCCGTTGACTTAAATAGTCTTGTATTAATTTTAGTGCATTACCTCTTACACCATATTTGTTGAGTTTGTGTAACAATAATTCGTGGTTAACAAAGTCAAATGCCTTTGACATATCGATGAAAATGGATGTTATAGGTATTTTGTTGTTTAGGCTGGTTGTTATAAGTTTTACTAAGTTAAAACATGCTAAAGTCGTTGACTTGTGTTTTGTAAACCCATATTGCTCTGGTTTTAATATTTCATGTTTGGTAAAGAAGTTATAAATTCTGGTATGTATGGCCTTTTCAAATACTTTAGACAAAACAGGTATAAGTGTTATAGGACGATAATTGTTAATATCACTTTTAACGCCTTTCTTGTATAGTGGTTTAATGATAGAAAATTTTAGTCTGGTTGGGAATATGCCTTGAACAAAAGCTAAATTAATAATATGGGTCAGTGGGAAAGATAAATATTTAGAGCATTTTTTTAAGACTTTAGTACTAATATCATCGTAACCTGTAGAATTTGTATTATTTAAGGAATTAATTATTTTTATAATGTCAGTGTTATTTATAGGAACTAGATAAATAGATTTGGGATAAAATGTCAATTTAGATGCATAGTCATTATTGGTTGTTATTGTATTTGATGTTTTAATATCATTAGTTAAATTTATAAAGTAATTGTTAAACACATCTGCTATTTTATGTGACTGATAATATGTATTGTCAGTAGTAGTTATTGTAGTTATGTCATTACTAACTGCCACATCATTTTTAACGTTTTTTATTATTCGCCAAGCTGCCTTACTTTTTTTGTTAGAATTAAGTAGGTAGCGTGTATTGTCAAGTTTCTGAGCTTGCTGTATGCATTTCCTTAAAATGTTTGTATATTTGTAATATATTTTCTTATTTCTTTTCTTGTTTGCTGTTGAAAGACGGTATTTCAAATATAGACGTCTTTTATTAATGCTACATTTTTAATACCCCTTGTAATCCATTTGTTTTTAATAGGTTTGTTTGTTATTTTTACAATCATTTTAGGGAAACACAAATTATAAAATAAGGTCAGAGTATCATGAAAGTAGTTGAAAGCCAAGTTAGTATCCTCGGCTTCATATACGTCAGCAAATGATAGGGCTGAAATATAGGACACAAATTTATTCACGTTTTCATCACTAAGGTCTCTTTTTTCCTCAAACCAAATCGATTTCCTAATATTACTTACATTTATATTTGCCGGAAAAGTTATTGTTTGGCAAGTTTCATGATCAGATAGCGCTAAATAGTGAATATTTGGTTGTACATTAGGAAGATTACTGGCAATCAAATCAATACAAGACATTTTTCTGGTTGGCTTACAAATGTGGTTATTAAAGTTATGATTGTATAATATGGAATTAAGTTTTTTAGAATTACTATCATTTTTCAAAATATTTGTATTCCAATCTCCACAAACTGTAATTCTTTTATTTTTTTTCTTAGTAAGTTTATTTAAAAGTTGATTAAATTTTTCAAAAAATAATTCTATATTAGAATTTGGAATCCGATATATACATACAACGCAAATGCCAAGTGTAACTATCTCAATAGCACAAAATTCAAATGTATAGAGTAGCGGCTAATTCTTTCCTAACCAATATGCACGTGCCACCTCTACGCTGATTTGGCCTTGAAAAAGCCGTTGCTAATTTGTAATTTTTAAGCATTAAATTAGACTCTGTACCCTGTTTCATAAAAGTTTCACTAATGCATATTATATCGATACTAATATTTTTATTTTCAAACTCAAGAATTGCAAGTTCAAGTAAATCCTTTTTATGTAAAATTCCAGCAATGTTTTGATGTAGTAAGGTGTAATTCCTTACATTATCGAAAAAAGGTTGAATCATTACCGTTATTCATTGGATTTTGCTTATACTCTACTTTACTTTTATCTATCTGTCTATAAAAATAATATGGGATAGTTCCTTTTATTTCGCTTAGTTCTTTCATGTTCAGTTTATTTACTCCAGTACTACCAGTTGCTATGCCAGCACACTTTGATCTAAGTAACGATCGAACAAGTTTTTCGTAATTAAAATTATCAATTTCTATATTTAATTTAGAACACAAGAAATGTTTCGGTATCGAACGCGAGTTCCTATTTAAATTATTACTTATGTCAATAAAATAGCAGTTTGAAAAATTCTGAACAAATAGCTTAATTTCTCTATTCAACAACTTGACATTTAGAAAGTCATTATTAAATACGTTTACTACAAAAACTTTGTTCTTCTTCAATTTGCAGAGTGTAGAACAAAGTTCAGTCAGAAATACATAAGGATTTTTGTCATTGTTTCCTACACCTAAAATTACAATGTCATCCATATTCAAGGTCTCTAATATATTATCAATACTGTTAAATATTTGCGCGCTGGATGCATTTGGTTTACATATTCCGGAAACTGAGTAAACATTGTTCCATTTGTTTTTAGATCTCTGCTTACACATTTCTTGAGCGAGTCCTCGTACTTGCTGATCTCCTAAGATTATGATTTTTGGTGTTGACGATGTATTATTAATTTTATTAAAATTTTTTCTTTCTTTTTCTTCATGTACACAGTTTGGAGGTTCTTTATCTCTGGTTACATTCTCAGTCCCATGATTCGTATCACTAGGATTTATATATGAAAGTTTTTTGCAAACAATTTCGGAAGCATGCAGGGGTGATATCCTAGGCGTCTTTGTTTGCAAATAAATTATTATTTTGCTTAATGGGATAGGCGTTCGTTTTGCAATGGGTGTGCAAGTAATCTTGTCATCACTAGTGAGTTTTTTTAAACAGTTGATAGTTCTGTCTTTCTCTTGTAATTTTAATTCCATTAATTGAATCTGCGAATTTAATTCTGCAATTTCATTGTGCGCTGATTCTAATTCTGTTCTTACTGAGGATAATTGCAGATTCAATTCATCGACAGACGATTTATTTATGGCGTGTATTAAATATTCACGTTGACTTGTTACATCTAACAGAGTGGAATTTGTTAACGATTGACTTATTTGGAAGTTCTCAGGGTCGTCAGAGAAAGTTCTGTTTCGTCTTCTCATTGTAACGTTTTCCATTATTTTAGTCAAATTTATTGTATGTCAATTACCTAATAATTTTACAATGTATAAATACAAATAGTATAAAAATGTCTTAACAGAAAAAACGAACAAAACATATAGAAAATTAGATATATGACAAAATTAATATTCAAATTAAACAAATGTACAAGCAAAAACAATAAAAAGATTACTACAATATTTAAAAAAAGAAAAAACTAAAACTATGTCTAATCAAAAAGAAGAGAAAAAAAAAGATGGCGACACTTTGTGTCCTGTGAACTAAAAATATAAAGGTACGTAGAGCTCAGTAATGATAAAATAATCATACGAGGGTGCTAAAATTTGTTTTGCATTCAGACATAAAGAAATTTTAATCGCCAAAATATTATTTTTTAGTTTATAACATTTTGTGGATATGCCGTCATCTATCGTCAAGGTAGCTAAGCTACACTGCAACATTGATATGGAAAGATTCGAGTAGTTTTACTATTTATCGGTAGATGTAGATAGTGTAGGGGGCGGAGCTTTGCATCCCCTCACCCCGCAAATTGTCACGCGTTGTTTCATAGTAAAATTGAATTACAACGTCTCCTCTTTGTATTTGCTTCATGGTTGTGACGTTCTAGCTAATGTGCTGTGTTATTTTGAAAATTTTCAAGTTATCTTTAACAGAATCGTTTAACAGAACTCATAACCTTTTAAGACATTTGAAACCATAACAAATATATATCTTCACTTTTAGCACTAATGTCATAGATATTATAAAATCTATGACATTAGTGCCTAAGCTTATATTATAATATAAGCTTAGGTGAGAAAAACTTTTTGTTATATTTTTTTGTACAAACCATGTCATTATTCCCATATAATAGAAGAAAACACGAATTAAGTGAAACACTGCACTGCACTTGCAAAGGCTGTCAAAATGGCCCACAAAGGGCGAAACAGACGAGCAATTAACTTTTTTTTTGCAAAATTTGACTTGCAATAGTTCATGCACCTATCATGTCATGATGTTTTGTTTTGTATAAACAATAGTTAAATATTAAGTCATACTTACATCAAAGTGGTCTTCACAGAATTATGGTTTAGATTTTGTAGCCGGGTCTCTCCTTGCTAGTTTTAACCAAGTATTTCTCATATTTAAATCAGTTGGCACTTGAATCCTTGAATTGTTGGCAGTATACTTATGCCTTATCCGAGTCCGAGATATTTATACAATCGAAAGATTCGCAACCGGTGCAAAATTACAATCGAATCCCCGATTATCTTGCTCTTTGAGTCGTAGGCGTAGAGACGTGTCATTTTTGCGTTATCGTATTATTGAATATTAGATTTATATAATTTAATTTTTTAATTTAGAAATGATGATGATATTTTGAATGAAAAAATGACTAAATGTTGTCATACTTACTATAAAATATTAGTCAAATAATACTGAACCAATTCAATATTTATCTGACTACCCCAGAAGGTAATGTTTTTCGAGACTATGTATGTCTATTTATCTGGTACGCTCTGTGGCCTAGAGGGCTTGGTAGATTTTAACATTTGAGGTGTCTTTAGATGTGTCTTAATTTTGGGAGTTACATAGCCTATATAATATTTATATATTGCGTCGAAAAATACAAGAAAGAAGAAGGTTTTTTTCAGTAAACGTTTTAACTCAGTCGGGTTTTTAAATTATTATTTTAACCATTAAGATTGTTACATTCATATCTCCTAAAACTATTAAATATATATACTAAATGTTTTAATGAGGTATTCAATTAGTGATCACGCGATTATTTAATAAACTAAAAACACTTAAACGAAATAGTCATTATATTTTCCTTCAATCTTAAATAGGCTTAGGACTGTCTAGTAAAACCGCTCTTTACTAGGCTAAAAAGTAATATCTATATAAAGTATGTTTTAGTAATATCGCTTTTTCTGAATATCATATCGAACTATATAAATAGAATTATAATATCAATATTTGATATCGGATTTCAAAACACTATATTTTATGAAAGTATATACTTACGAATAGATATATATCCATATTCTAGCAAAAATCTAATATAATATACTGTATTTGATGTCATAAACGATTTCTTCGTAAAATCGATAAAGATTTTTTGTAAGATGGTTAAAATCACGATTTGCAATATCGTTCGAAATAACATCGATGCATTGATAAATTTGTTGGCTATAAAGCTATGAATTAAAGGAGAAGGAGACGTCTCCATACATTTTTCGGCCTAAATGTTAACAAGATGAATGTAGAACCATTTGAAAGCGTACATATAAAAAATTCATAGTTGCAAATCTGGCAAGATTTGTCAATCTAGGAGCTGAGTTATTGTACAATAAGTAAAAGTGACATTACCTATTACCTACATTGTAACAGATGATTTTTCACACTGTAACAGGCTATTTTTTACTATAAGATATAAAAGCAGGATTAGTATAAAATCATCAAAAAAACTGTGGTCAGTAATAAACGAAATGGTGAAACGATTAACAAAAGTTAAAACAACAACAACTAAGTGAAGTGAATATTAGGGATATCGATCTGAGGTTGATTACATGAATTGTTGTTGTAACTGTTACTTGTTGGAATGTTGATATTTTGTTTGTTGTTATTTTACATTTCAAAATAGTAAGAGAAATATGGAGAATGAGTCTATCTAATACTTTTTATTTTTTAGGACTTAACATTAATAGATTATCCGAACGCAAAACTTTCTAAACTGACAAACCTTGCTACTGTCAAATGTCAATGTCAAACGTTATTTGTATTTCAATTCAACAGTTTCATTATTTACAAAAAGTGGGCAAAACTTTGTGTGAGAACAATTTAATTGTAAACCTTTAATGTAAGCACTTACATTTACATAATCTGAAAAATACATTATTTTTAAATGTATACTTGCGGTAAAGGCATTAACAATCTCTATAAATATCTGTCAACTTTATTCGCACATAACTTTCGCGTAACAAATCAACTCATTATAAATTCAATGTCTTCAGTTTGCCTTGTGTTTCATACAGCTTCCTGTCCTTTCAGGGTCAATCTTGTTATGTATTAGTGGACTACAGAACAAAGAACTATATTGATGTTTGTTACAAAATCGCTGCCATGAAGAAAGTTTTGTTATTTAAGAGTGCGTCAGAGGATTACAAGAAGGCTTTTTCAAAGTGTAATTACCAAACCGTATTTGTTGAGCCACTCGAATTTGTGTATATAAATTTACAGAAGTTAAGTGAAAAGCTTCAAAATGGAAACTACCACGGTCTGATACTTACGAGTCCTCGTGCAATCGAAGCTGTTTCAAGGTGCTGGGCACCGTCCAAGTTTATTTTATGGAACACAAAACGTATATACACTCTAGGGGAATCTAGCGGTCGAAAAGTTAAACTTCTATTGGGCTTAGAAGCTTTAGGTACTAGTGCAGGCAATGCAGAAAACTTAGCTAAACTTATTATGAAGGAGAATCCGGAATCTTCAAAATTTCTATTCCCCTGTGGTAATTTAAGTTCGGAATTGTTACCTAATATGTTACAGTCAAGTGGTATTATGGTTGACTCTCTTACAGTATATGAAACTAAAGAAAATGAAAATTTAAGAACAAATCTGATGGCTGTTAACGATTCTGAGGAGCCTTGTTGCATGGTGTTCTTTAGCCCATCTGGCTGTGAGTACATACATAGGCAACTTCAGACGTTCATCAACAAACTTTCTAACTTACCACACTTTGCCATTGGTAATTCAACGGCACACAAAATTGAGAATCTCGGTGTAGAAATAGCAGGTGTTGCTGTGAAACCAAAAGCAGAAAGTGTTATTGAGTCTATTGAACAGTATTTTAGAACTTTACAAAGCTGTGGGTAAAATTAGAAAACAAATATAAACGTTTAAATGGTGTAGGATTAGCTTGTACAGAAAAATATTTTTTTTATTTAACACAACTAAAGAATATTTGTAAATTAAATTATTTTTTGTTATAATGTATTTAGATAAGATTTTGTATTATGATCTTAATATCTGAGGTGTAATAAATAACTAGTATACATGTGTCTATAAAAATTTTAACAAATAAACAATATCTGTCTTCTTACAAAAGTAGTCTATAATTAGTGTCAGACTTAAGCTAGAACTTAACTAGAAACTCCCTCAGAAGTGAGAGGAGGCCTGTGCCCAGCAGTGGGACATATATATGCTGTAACTTTACTACTTTTTTGAACTAGAACTATAAAAGAAGTTACGGAAATAAGTAAACTAAAATAATGCAATTAGTGGACAAGGTGAGGAGAAAAACACGTGAATACTGGACAACTACTGATATCTTTAATGATTAAACTTTCTAATATATTGTGGTTATTCATACACACATCATATATCAATAATTAATAATCTTTCAGTGTCTTGTTCTACATACCAATGTCCTATATGGATTTTTTTTATAGGATAGGGTGACAAACGAGCACACATTTCACCTGATGGTAACTGGTTGCTGTGACCCATAGACATGTAGATGTCTATGGGTCACAGCAACCAGATCTATCCTCCATAAAGAATCAAAATAAAGATGCATTATCACCTGTGAGGACTGAGGTAGAATGCCTCGTTTCCAGTAAAAAGGGTCTCCGGTTCTCTACACTCACTGTACGAAACACAGCAGCATTAAGCTGCTATTTTACGCTGGTATTCTGTGAGAGCGTGGTCCTTTCCCGGTCGAGCCAACCCATTTGTGCTACATCTATACTATTAATATAGCTACAGCATGGGTCTACCACGTAAAAATACCTTGTAATACCTTATGCTGTTTTAAATACTTAGAGAAAATATTTTCTATGCAAAAGTAGGAGGCATTGTAATCAAGCAATGAAATATATCAATTTTATCTGTTATCATCTGTTTAAAATTTATATAAAACCTGTGAAAGTAATTTACTTAACTACCTAAGTTAAAAAATGCAGCTGATTACCTCCTCCCTTAAGTGAAAACTTTTTAAAAGCTTCCAATATTTTTTTATGCAAGAAGGGGTGACAGTCAGGGTCAACATAATTGCACACAAGGTCCACATAATATAAGCTGTGGCCCATAGACATTTACATCCTTTCTCAATTAAAATTCAAAATACAGACGAGTTGTCACCCCTAAGGACTAAGATAGAATGACTCATTACCAGTAAAAAGGTCTCTAGTAACATAGCAACATTATTCTGCTGTTTTATGCTCGTATTGTGTGAGAGCGTGGTCCTTCCCCGGTCGAGATTATCTGTTCGTGCTTCAGCTATATACATTGGTACACTGGCGGCATCTTAAAGAATATTTATTGTTAATTTGTACACTGTAAACTATTAACACAGAATAATATAAACAATTTTTATCACGCCGAATGTTTATGGTGATTCTACCAGTTAGAGGTCTAAGGAGCGTGCATATCAACCAATTAACGATTGGTTCGTCCGGACGAAGGGAGGGGGCAAGGGATGGGAGGGAGTGGAGTTTAGAAAGAAAGCTATTTTTTTAACAATCTAATAAAATATATTATACACTACCTATATCTTCTTTTCTTTTCACTTTTAAATAATTTGGTATTTTATTGATAAACAAGTTATTTATAGAAAGTTACAGACATTTTTAGAAATTATCCGAAACATAGCAAATAAGTATTATGTAATAATCAATAATAATAATATTAATAACAAAATTGGCGTAGGGAAGTGACGACCCCTTCGCCCGCTGACGTAACAGTTAAGTGACAAAACTGCTACGTCAACGCAATCAGTCAGCACCTTGTCAAGCGGTGTTAGCGCCGTGCCTCGGCAAAATTGAGGGTGCAAAGGCCCGTTTGTGCATATGGCTCCAACATGAAACGGCGCCGGAAATCTCCCGTGATGAAAACCAATAGACCGCGTATAGGGCCGCTGCCTGGGGGTCGCCGGGGCGCGTCAGGAGCTGGCGCTGGACGCGACAGCATGCGGGCCGCCAGCCCAGCGCGAGTTGCTACACGACCACCTAGTAGCCCCTCGCATCCATCATCCCCACCAGATGGCTTGGTGTCGGCAGGGTCCTCTCGGACTCGGCAAACGGCACCCGTCGCTGGTGGAGTACGCCGCATGCGTTGGACGAAGGAAATGAATACAAACGTACCTATTGCGGGCGTATTTTGGGGCGAAAGTGGAAGAAATTGGAGGTTTTGCGTACCGGGTTAGGATGCATCGACTATTTGCTGAGCTGGAGCCGTCTATTACCGTTACCGAGCAAAACCTGGCAGACCGAGTTCCGTACATCATGCGCTCAATAATATTTGATGACGCCGAACTCGAACGGCTACGACGTGAGGCTATTCCTTCGTCGAATGAAAATACTACGACAGGTGATGCGGCTCTACGAGTTGCAGAGCAACCCGCACACGTAGATACCACCGTAGATCTCCTTGACTCAGGCGACGATGGAATAGTCGCCCAGGAACAAGAGCAAATGAGGAGCGTATTGGAAGAGGCGATTAGGGAAACGCGCTGTACGCCTCTCGAGAATCGACCGCGACTTCCCCGTATACCCCTAAGCAAGCGGAATCGGGCTGTCGTGAGGGCTCTCAACCCAATGCTGGTGACCTATTTGGAAGCCAGCCGGGATCTTTGCGACACGGACTCAATTCTTTTTGGCGCCGCACTGGCAGTTTGCCGTATTATTGGCGCCAAATTTCCCACGGCTGGACGCGCTACTAGACACAGTAGCGCCATCCCAGCCTGGAGAAGAAGGATTGAGGACCGTAACGCAAAAGCAAGGGCCCTCATCGGCAGACTGATAAGCTTCAGGTCGGGCAATAATAGGCCAAGAATTGTGCGCACCGTCAGGATGGCGTTTGCTGGGACAAATATCACTTTGTCCCAGCCAGATATAACGCAAAAACTGACGGAGCGCATAGATGACCTGAAGCAGAGAATCGCTGCTTGGGGAAGCGGATTCGGCAATATACCGAGAGGTCGACACGGTTCAACGAGAATCGTCTCTTCCAGAGTGATCAGAAGAGGCTCTATGAATCATTGGACCGACCAATGGTACGTGGAACGGGCCCAGCACCGAATCAGGCCGACACTATCGCATTCTGGCGCAGCCTATGGTCAGAGCCCGTAAACCACAGCGAGGGCCCTTGGACGGAAGTTGTGGCGAGTCAGTGTGCGAATATTACGCCCGTGGACCCCGTCATCATAACGCCGGATGACGTAGCTGAGGCGGTCCGTAGGGCCCCGAACTGAAAAAGTCCAGGACTCTACGGACTGCATCACTACAGGCTGAAGGGGTTCGTGGTGTGTCATGCTGTGCTCGCCCGACAGTTTCAAGAGGCTCTCGACCAAAAGTTGTCCCTCAAGAGCAATAGTCGTAACATGGCCGGTTTTGGAGACAAACGTGGCCACCATTTTTTTTGCAACACTCCGTGAACGAACAATTTTGTTGGCTTTAACTCAGCAGAGTCAGCCAATGTCTTTTTATTTGACTCATGCCAATGTCTAAAGTTGCTTGAATTTCGCGGTATGTCACATGTCGATCTTCCTCAATCAGCTTACGCACAGCATCAACGTTTTCTTGGGTGACTGCAGTTTTTGGACGACCTTGACGGGGATCATCACTGAGCTTGACACGTCCGCGGTGAAATTCAGCAAACCAGCGATAAATTGTGGTTTTGGATGGGGCTTCATCACCAAATGCAGAAATCATCCGGTCAACACACTGTTTTTGTGTTAAACCACTTCGAAAGTCATAATAGATCATCGCTCTTGAATTTTCTCGAGTTAATTCCATTTTCTCAACGATTAAACAAGTTTGACAAAACCTTGTGACAAGACCAAGAATCTTTTTTTAAATAAATAAATTGTTTTCGATTTTAAAAACCAAGGGGTTTTCAATTAAAAAGAATTTAATATGACAGGAACAGTGGAAATATTCCATTCCCGATACTTTTACTACAGCCTATGTATGCACGCTTGACCAGAGTGCTTAACAACCTTTTGTCCGGTGTGAATGAGACGCACGCATATAACGGTTGGATCGTGCCTGTTCTCATGTATACCTTTGGCATGCTGGTGGACTCAGACCGAACTGAACGCTCTGGACAGAAAAGTCCGCACTATAATGACGTCCCACAGGGTGCATCATCCGAGATCGTCAGTAATGAGGCTGTACTTGCCGCGGAAACATGGTGGGCGCGGCTTTTTAAGTGCGCTTACCTTACATAATCGCGAAGTGTGCAGCCTCCGTAATTACTTTCTGAAGAAAGCGGATGATCTATACTATAGAGACGTTATTTCTTGTGACAAAGGACTTACCCCTCTATCCTTAGCCAACGAGCAATGGCAAGACCCGGCAGTACAGAGCATTTCCGACCGGGAGACCGTATGGAAGGAGAAGGAGCTCCAAGGGAGGTTCTACAAGGCTCTACATGAGCCTTTCGTAGACACAGTCGCCTCTCTCCACTGGCTACGTTTCGGTGACCTCTTTGGGGAAACCGAGGGTTTTGTCTGTGCGATACAGAATTGGGTTATTAAGACCAACAATTATCGGAGATACATCCTAAAGGATGGCACCGTTGACGTCTGTCGAGCTTGTCGCCATCCCGGTGAGTCACTTAGGCATGTCATCTCCGGTTGTTCGGCGCTTTCTAACTCTTGAGTATTTGCACAGGCACAACTGAAATACGGTCTCGTGGATCGGAAACTGCCGTATTATAATTACTTGCCGGAAGCCGTGCTCGAAAATGACCGCGCCAGGCTCTACTGGGACCGGGCCATCACCACAGACAGGACTATTCTTGCGAATAAGCCTAATATTGTGCTGATAGACCGGGCACAGTCAAGGATATTTTTGGTCGACATTACCATTCCT